GATGGCAGATTAGAATTGAGTCACGTGACACTTGATGACGCAGGAGAATACACTTGTTTTGGAAGTAACTTGCTGGGTACCGCAAACCGGACTGCTCTGATGATCGTAAAAGGTATGAAGTCTAATGTTTGATTGCCTTGTCATTATTTATAGGTTTGTTAGCACGCTAGTTTTAAGAATCCGTCTCGTTGCTCGCCTTGGTTCGTACGCTTTCGATTTTGGATTTTTGCGTGACATGAAAAGGAGACCACACCTGTGAGACATAGGAAAGTTGGCACTTGACCAAGGACAGGTGCAACAGTGATACGCCTGATTATAGATTCATCAAGTAAAGGGCAGGTTCGTCTCAGTAATCCTAGCAGTTTTTTACTATATCATTGATGTGGGGTTTCCATGAGAGATCACTTGTAATCTCAATGCCAAGATCCCTTTTCCTTTAAAACGCGAACAAGGTTATCAGCTCCAAGATGATAAGAGAAGAGGGCGGGGGTTTTCTTGGAAGAAATAGTGACAGCTTTCGACTTGTCAGCATTGAACTTCATGTTGCTTTCGGTACTCCACTTGGCAAAATTGGACAGGATTGGTAAGATTAAAAAGACAAAAATGGCAGATACTATTTCATCAACCATAACTGATAACGAATCAAGAAAAAACGCAAGGCTGATTAAACGGGATGAAAATTATATCATCAATTCTAACATTTCAAAAGTAAGGACTTTCCTTTTTCAAGCGTGTTACAAAAATTGACTCTTTAGGTAAACGTTAGAAGGCAGGTTAAGTTAAAAGCAACGAGGATGCAATATAATTTTATAGTCAAAATGTAAGAGTGTGGGAGTTGTGTCTTACATACTTAACTCTTACTCCACATCTTTCCGGCTCCTCCCAAGAATATAAACGGTTACCGACTAAAAAATTGCGACCAAATGCGACCCAAAAAGTGTATTTGCATCACTGTGAGGAGGTGCACAAAAGGGAGGAGTAATATTAGTTCCGTTTATTTTTTTTTAAGGAATACTCATTAGTATACTTCTATGTGTGTTAAAAACTTTTAACATGTCAGTGCATATTAACCGGTACACAATCTTCTTTTGTTTTCTTTAAAGCGCCTCCTCGAATTCATCTCGCCCCAGGCCCAACTTACGCCAAGAAAGGTTCAAATGCCACTCTTCCAAAATGTCACGTGACCGGTTTTCCGGTACCAATTGTCACTTGGCGCAAGATTCCAGGCTCCCTTGCAATAGACAGGACTGTGCAGGACGGGGGCTTACTGACAGTGGGCCTCACAGCAAAACACGATATTGGGTCCTACGGGTGCCACGCGAAGAATTACTTAGGAGAGTCATCAGCAGTTACCTCGTTGGTTGTAATATCGGTTCCGAAATTCATCACAAAACCGCCCCAATTAGTCATAAAATTACCAGGTGATGACTTGTCTTTAAACTGTTCTGCATCTGGCGAGCCAACTCCTGCTATATCCTGGAAACGATCCAAGGGGGCCTGGAATGACGAACGAATGAAAGTACAGAGAGGAACTTTACAGATTTCTAGACTTGATGAAGCTGATTCTCGAATTTACATCTGTGAAGCAAAAGTGTCCTACTACACTATAGGAGCGCGGTCTCATCTAATAGTAGCCAGTAAGTATCTAGGACTGTTCCAGGTATTCGGTTAGAGCCTGTTTACAAGGAGACAGGGTTACCCCAACAAGCGGGTTACCATAAAACGCATTCCACACATTTCCTATTTTTTTTCCACGTTGTGTTTACAAGGCAGCAAGGGTTACCCGGGTAGGCGGATTACCCTATCTGCGTGCTAGGGTTACCCTGGAAGGCGGATTAACTTTTTCCTTTGTAAAGACTCCAGGTAGGGTTAACCCGCCTACCCGGGTTAACTTTCTAATTGTTTCCAGACCCTTTGAGTGTAACCGCGCATTAAGTTGTCCCGGGTTGCAGGGTTACCCTACCTGTGAAATTTTGTTTGTAAACCAGGGCTATCTTTTGTTCTCCAGCTAGGGTTAACCCGCTTGCTAGGGTAACCCTCTCTCTTTGTAAACAAACCCTTAATAGTAATAATAATAATAATAATAATAATAATAATAATAATAATAATAAAATAAAAAATTAAACGGCGGAAAAAGAGGCGATAGAAAAAATTGGGGGAATCGAAAGCCTGGAACAAGATACTAAGTAGTTCTCAATAGATTCCAAGCAATAGAGACCAGCTAGTTTGGTTTGGTTGAAAATGACCATGATCAATAATAGTAGTTGGCATCATGAAGATATACAACCTCCTATTGAAAAAAAAAAACGAAGAAAAAGGCCTAGTTCATTTCTTCTTTCGTTCATTGGATAATTTGCCAATGTTGTGACTGGCCCGGATGCGATTATTTTGGTTTCGTGCTCAGGACAGATATTTGAAAACCGCTCTATATTATATAATCAATCAACTACTTTCAACTATGCTTTCACGAAAGGCATCAGTTGCTTATTTCATCGATTCTACAATCTCAGTATGGCACAGAAGACAACAGTCGGAAAAAGAATACAGAAAATCATGAAACAAGGTAGCCACGCCTGAATTAACACGTAAATTAGCATATTGTATTAGAAAACAGCCCAAAGAATATACGCGCGCTGATTGGTTAAAAATCGTGTTCCATAACTCGATAGAAACACAGAACTAGCACGAGCTGTTGACGTACGTAATGATGGCGGGAGCAAAGAGAATTTACATTTTGATAATCAAAGTTAACAAGTTGTTT